TTTTTTTTTTTTTTCGGAAACCGTATTCCTTGAATACGTTCTGCAATTAAATCATGCAAAAACCGTATTCAAGGAATACGGTTTCTATATTAAATATAAAAAAAAAACTTCTTCTTCTCTTCTTCTTTACGCGAACAGAGAGCAAAAAAACAACAGAGAGAGGGAGTATAGCGAGAGAAGAGAAGAGAAGAGATCGATTGTACTGCAATTCGGTCGAAAAAAAAGGGCATCGCCATCTCACTACCACCGCACCGTATATTATCGTCGTCCCCTTACGGTCAATAAGCTACATTTTGTTCAATTAGGACATCAATTTTTACTAATTTTCAATCATTTTCGAATTAGGGTATTTTTTGAATATTGAATATCTTGTTTGATGGAAATGAGATATGTTGATGTAATTGTTGAATATGTTTGTATGTTAAATTGATGGGTTATTTGAAATGTGATTAGGTTGTGTAGTTTGTTTGAGAATATATGATTTCAAGGTGTTCGATAAAATGCCTCAAAGGGGTTCTTTAGTTTGAGCTTCTTTGCTTGTGTTATTGGCTTTGTTGTTACATATTTGTGAATTTGGGATGATTGTGATGAGGTGAAGAGGTGTTGAAGGTGGATACGTGAATTTTTAATATGTTAAATTGTTGTTATAATTTTAGGGAAAGGGGTTTAGGTTTGAAATTATAATGTTATTGAAAATGTGAAATTGTGAACTATTGTGTGAACTTCGATTTTTTGGAATTACGACTCCAATTAGAACTTCGAATTGTGAAGTGTGTTTTTGTTAATGTTATTAGCATCTATTGTTCTTGATCAATATTACATAATAAATAACTTTAATCGTAATTTATTATTTTGTCCTATTGTTTGTAGATAAATGGCTTCATCGTCATCCTCACAGCCTCAGCAGTACAGTGTGCATCCCGGTCCGAGGGATGAGAGCCTTCTATATCTCCAGTACAAACATCGGGCAGAAGCGATATTTTTAAATGTGCCGGGAGCTCGTGACATGACGTTCACAAACCGTCGTTTCGATACCCAGTTTTGGAAGGCAGTGCCACAACAGACACTGTCGGTTTGGAGGGCCATCGACCGGACTGGTTTCGGCCCCATGTTTCGAATGGGTCGAGTCCAAGCCGACAACGCCCTCCTCACTGCTCTCGTGGAGAGGTGGCGCCCAGAGACGAATACATTCCATTTCGATTTCGGCGAGGCCACCATCACGCTCCAGGACGTACAAGTCCTATTCGGTCTGCCAATCAATGGAGCTGCTGTTGTGGGAGTGACTGTAGAGCTATCACCCTTACAGTGGCGAGAGAAGTGCAAGAACTTGCTAGGGTCTGAGCCCTACGTTCAGGTATATTTTTTCATAATTTTTTTTAAATATATGTCAACTCAATATATCATTTTTAATATGTAAAAACCACTCTCAGGATCCTCCCACCACCGAGGCAGAGCAAGCAGCACAGGACCCTAGCTCGTGGGAAATTGCTGGCCAGTGGTTGAATATTGGGCCTTTGGAGTGCTCTTGCAAAACTGAGTTGCCAGAAGGACAACCGGATATCGTGTACGAGCAGATGGCGAGGGCCCTTATCTTGTGGCGCATTGGGTCATTCATCTTCCCCGACCAGCGGGCGGATGGCGTCCCACTTTACTGGCTCCAGCTGCTAGAGGACTTCGATGGTATTCAGGGGTACAGCTGGGGTTCAGCGCTCTTAGCCGGAGTATACAGAGCGTTGGCGATCTCATTCAAGGCCAATGAGAAGTGGTTGAAGAACTGCGTTCAATTGATCCAGGTAAATTTATTTAATTATTATTTGAAAATTTAATATTTTATTTTTCTTACTTCGACTAATACCTAATAACAAAATTAATGTTCACTTGTGTAGGTTTGGGCATGGGAGCATATCCCTTGTATTCACCCAAAGGTGAAGAGATGTTTGTTTGGTACTCTGCCTGGTTGTCCATTGGGAGGGAGGTAATCACTTTTATTTTTATTTAATCCGTACATTATTTTCATTATCAAATTTTA